TGCACCCCAGCACGGGTCGGGTCCCACGGCGGTACAGGGTGCTGCCCGTCCTTCGGAGGGGAAATCATAGAATCATAGGTTGGAAAAGAAGACCTCTAAGATGATCAAGTCCAACCATCAACCCAACTCTGCCTTGCCTACTAAACCATGTCCTCAAGTGCCACATCTACACGTTTTTTAAACACCTCCAGGGATGGTGACTCCACCACTGCCCTGGGCAGCCTGTTCCAATGTCTGACCACTCCATCAGTAAAGAAATTTGCCCTAATATCCAACCTAAACCTCCCCTGATGCAACTTGAGGCCATTGCCTCTCATTCTACCGGTAGTCAACAGGGAGAAGAGACCAACCCCCACCTCACTACAGCCTCCTTTCAGGCAGTTGTAGAGAGCAACAAGGTCCCCCCTCAGCCTCCGCTTCTCCAGAATAAACACCCCCAGGTCCTTCAGCCATTCCTTATAGGACTTGCTCTCTCCAGGCTCCGAAATCACCCCAGGGAGGCAAAGCCCGGAGGAAGGCCGGGTCTGACCCCCCTGGCGTGGAGGGGGAAGGGGCTGCATCGCCCAGGCTCCTGGTCCCCAGCTGGACCAGCCCTCTCCATCTCCCGGCCGTGGCAATGGGCCGCTGTTACGAGAGAGCGGGGAAACCGATTATAAAGCAAATTGGTAACGAGGGGACAGACACTGAAAACATGTCCTAGGAGAGGGAGGAAGTTGGGGGGAAATCTGTCCCAAGCTTCTGCACCCCCTCCTTGCATTCGCTGGGAGAGCGACAGCTCTCGTCTGGCCAATGCTTCTGCTAGGAGACACAGAGAAGGTGACGGTATTTTTAACCCTGTCACCAGAGAAAACCACCAGGTAAAGCTGTGGGTGTCTGGCTGCGCAGACACTGGTGGTGATGGCTTCTCAGAATCACAGAATGTTCGGAGTTGGAAGGGACCTCTGTGGGTCATCTAGTTCAATCCTCCTGCCAAAGCAGGGTCACCTACAGCAGGCAGTAGAGGACCTTGTCCAGGCGGGTCTGGAATATCTCCAGAGAAGGAGACTCCACAGCCTCCCTGGGCAGCCTGGGCCAGGGCTCCGTCACCCTCAGAGGGAAGAAGTTCTTCCTCGGGTTCAGCTGGAGCTTCCTC